CACACACACACACACACACACACACACACACACACACACACACACACACACACACACACACACACACACTATACTCCCTTCATTCTGATTTTTTGCCCCAACAACCCGTGAGCGATTTCTTCCAATGCTCAGTCCTATATCCCAATTATGCGTTTGACCCAGTAGGCCAGCTCTTCCCTCTTTCGAGGTACTTTCAGTCCGACTGAGCTGAAAACACATGACCGAAGACGGGTTGGTTGCTAGGCTCAGTAACAGAATGACCTTTGACACTGAGCCCATTACGTGTCCCAGAGGCCAGAGCATGGTTCATATTCCTCATGTCCACATGGCCTGCCCGGCAGAATGGGTGTGTGCAAGTTGGCACATTTTGTTGAAAGGGCATGCCCACTGTTGGCAAGCGACGGGACACAGTGAAACGATGTGTCAGACTGGAACAGCATCGGACAAATTGACTGTTGCCAAAGCATCCTCTTCGATGCCTGGGCACGTTCGCTCGGTGATGGACACGAAAAAGCCCATTAGGAGTGTTGCCCAAAAGCGTTTCCAACAGGTGCGATGAACTTGACGGCTTCGTGAATGCCAAGTCGGAGCGAGAAGAAGGTTTCGATGAATCTCGCAAGACCGAGCGAGCATTGGCACCGATGCTGCCTTGAGACAAGTGGGATCGGGTGCTCTTCTCAATCCACCGCCAGGACGACCAAGTCCCAAGAAAAGAGTTCCAAAAGTTGCGTCCGACACTTACCACACACAAAGTATATGCGAATAAAAGTTGTATAGAGGTTGTTTGACCTTGTTTTCGCAACTTGGTCATGTTGGTAGGAAGACTTAGAGGAACGCACCTAGTCCGGAGTCCATTCTATGCATCATCATTTCCAAAGTCGGATGGACGTGGTACTTTCCTAGACGTTTCCAGCCATCGTAGTCGGCATCGTCAGTGAGTATCTCCATTCTTAGCACCACACAACAACTCGTCAAAGAGACAATGAAGCCGATCCTTTGACCAAACGTGTGCTAATCAATTACGGTATCTTCCCTTCTGCCATAACTGTTTAGCACACGTTTGATCAAAGGTTCGGTCTCACTTGTCTCTTTGACGAGTTGTTGTATGGTGCTAAGAATGGCGATACTGACTGGAAATGATGATGTATAAAATGGACTCCGGACAAGGTGTGTTCCTCTAGGTCTTCCTACCAATATGACCATGTTGCGAAAACAAGGTCAAACAATCTCAAACATGTTGCTCGTGTCATCTAAGCTTCTTTGTGACATCTATTCTATTGTGACACATCTATTCTTATTTTGTGGTTCTACATGGATATAAATTAAAGGAAGAACCTCTATTTCAATCCCATCTCTGGTCTATTCTGCTAAATGATCAGTAAAATTAATAACCTCTACAAGAATCTTATAAGTAAAGCTCTTACTATTTGACAAAGCATAATTAATACCTTTAGATATAACTTTCTCAGAAGTATTGTCCAATGATGTTTTGGACAGGTTAACTACTTTTCGACTTATCTTCATTTTCTCTTCTCCTGTGGATGAAATCCGATTGTTATTTAAACATTTAATTCTAATTTATAGGTTCTTAAGTTTTTTTATCGTGACTCTTACTTAACTGACGAAATATTACATCATAAAATTTTTCAGCCATTGATTGAAGCCTCAGAAAATCTTCAATATTAGGAGAATCAGACAAAACTTGCATAAGAAGTTGTTTGACCTTCTCTTCGCAACTTGGTCATATTGGTAGGAATACTTAGAGGAACGCACCTAGTCCGGAGTCCATTGTATGCATCATCATGACCAGTGAGTATCGCCATTCTTAGCACCATACAACAACTCGTCAAAAAGACAAGTGAAACCTAACCTTCGACCAAACATGTGCTAAACAGTTATGGCAGAAGGGGAGATACCATAATTGTTTAGCACACGTTTGGTCAAAGGATCAGCTTCACTTGTCTCTTTGACGAGTTGTTGTATGGTGCTAAGAATGACGATAATCACTGACGATGCCGGCGAAACGTTTGGGAATGTACCACGTCCACGTTTCAACTTTGGAAATAATGATGTATAAAATGGACTCCGGACTAGGTGCGTTCCTCTAAGTCTTCCTACCAATATGACCGAGTTGAGAAAGCAAGGTCAAACAACCTCTATACAACGAAAGGAGACTGTGACCACACAAAAGGCCACACCATCTTGGTCTTCATACCTTCGAAGGAAAGTTGTGTTTCGAACAATCTCTTGGTTCATAATTGTTCAACTCACTTCCTTCTCAAGTGAAATTGTTTGGGGAAGAGTTTCGAAGCTCGGTCTCGCCAGACGACAACGACAGATTTATCTTGAAAAGCTGCCAATTCATTTTACGTGCATATCTGTTGTTCGCCATAGGAGAAGCATCATCAGAACAGGTTATCATCTTCACAACCAAATTCAAGCAAACAAATTAAGAAAACTCATCGACTTATCCATAAATGGCGCATATTTACCCTGTATCTAAGCTTCTTAATGAGGTATTAAGAGATTTTGTTGGTTTATGTTGTATGCAAAACTCGAAGTATGCGCTTGTGTCTGTTTATGTGCCTTGGTGTGTTCTTACGAAACCAGCATGTTCTAGATCATGCACGAAATCAGCACTGATAGTTCACAGTAATTAGAGGATCTACACTCGATCATCAAGGTTTGAGGGTCACCTTTTTATCATCAATCCGATTGCGCAAAATCGGACACACCGGTTACAATAATGATCCTTTTGTCTCCGTGTGAGACAGAAAATGTAGACCAAAAAGCACATAAAGGGATCTTGATTAGAAGCAATATGAGAAAAAAAGACCAGTTGAGTAACCTCCTTTTATCAGGCGACCTAACACCCTCTCTATCCTTTCAATCAGTTTTATTTTTATTCAAAGTCTTGCCTATTCGGTGATTTCGATGGTCTCACTAATTTTACACTTTGCCGCAGAAATACCATAATCAGCAAAACTACATGTTTGAGATCGTTTAATCCCAAGTTCAGGTTCTGTCAGCTCAGATTTTTGAACCCAAGATCCGTCAAAGGTGCTTCAGTGCTCACCCACCCTTTGTAGAATGGGACGATAAGTCTCTCCAACATAAAAGCGACCACATACGCACACTTTTATAGCAGCCTGTTCTGGATAATGTATCATCTTTCCTTCCAACAATGGGCATAACTGCATAGTGTCAAAGTTTCCCTGATAACCGTTTTTATTTCCCATTCTTACTAGTTCATCTATCTTTTTAAGGATAATGCACGAGGTCAAAGTCAAGATATGATAAGAGGTCTTAGTCTTTTTATCTCCCCTTACATAATCCCTATTCCAAAGAAAATTTTTTTACTAATCTTATGTTATGTTTTAATCAAGTACTATTAATTTAAGCCTATTCATCAAGCCACAAAAAGGGACAGAGTAAGAGCCATGCCACCTTTGTCTTCACACTTCCCTGCTTGATTTAAAGTATGAGCTACAAGTGAGCTGTAGGCGAAAACGAGGGATCAAGTGGGAAAACTTTTCCTGACACACTGTGGAAAGTGTGAAAATGAATAATGAGTGTGTTTTGTAGGTATCAGTAGATCTTGAATAAGAAATATAATCACATTAGCTGGCCAAGAATGATGTAAGGATAAAAGTTGAGTAAAAATAGTTGACCCAGGGTTGTGCTTTGATATACCGATTATGTATGCATCAAAACTATCAGTGGACCCTTAATAAGAACTCTAATCACCTTAGGCCATTAAGTTCCATTCGGGCTTATCTCCAAATGGAATTTGCAGTCGAATCTCCAGGATGATAAAATGATTATTGGAAGGCAGGTTAAAGTGGAAATACTTTGTATCATGGGGCAAACTAGTGGCATTTAGGAGGTCAAAATGAGGTAAACTTTGCAGACTTAAATAACATAGTTCGTTTTTAAAAGGGTTTAAGAGACTACCATTAGATCAGAGGTACGAGGCGTAGACCTTACAATTGCATTCAATTTCACTAAGCCTCGCTTCCAAAACAGTATTCACATTCATGAAGGATTCGAGTGCAGTTTCGACCTCGTCGAAGTCTCATCAGCACCCTCAGAGGGACTCGAATCGTGAGAGTGCAGCGTGTAATCTCGACATGTTAACCACTACGCCATATTGCAATGAGTGCCCTTGGATCACAGGGCAGATGTGAATTTCCAGCAAGGCCAAGCATTTTCCCATATCACATTATCTTTTGGGACGGTCGATGAAACAGTTCATATAAATGATTTGCTGGTAGTCACGCAACGAACAAAATGAAAGTGATGTGGGCGATTGTCACGGCAAATACAACTTTGCCTCATCGATAATCCCACCAAAGAATATGATTTTGGAAAATTCCTGGCCTTCCGTGAAATTCTCATCTGCCCTGTGAACCAAGGGCACTCGTGGCCCTACGGCATAGTGTTTAACATGTCGAAATTGTACGTTGCATTGTCAGGATTCGAATCCCACTGGGGCGTGTTGATAAGGCATAGGCGAGTTCGAAACTGCAGTCCACTTTTGGGAAATCAAGGCTATGTCAAAGTAAATGGAGACGTCAGTTCTGTTCACAGAATTGTGGGAAAATTCAACTTTCAGTCCTTCATCACCTTAAACGAAATAGAATGAATACATCTCACATAACTGATTTACTGGTAGACTTGAAACCCAACCAATGAATAAAAAATAAATTACTTATATCTCGTTTGGAACTAGGTCTTCGAGACAGGTCATTAGATTATATATATATATATATATATATGAAATGAGAATATGCATGAGAATTCGCTTTGGGAAAGCAAAGCAATGTGAAATTCAATGGACATTTACGGTCCACTTATATAATTGTGGGAAAATTCAGTTACCACTCACCGTATCGCCTTAAACGAAATATAGTGAATACACCTCACATAACTGATCTACTAGTAGTCTCGAAAACCTATTTGTAAACACAATATGTACAATGTTGTCGATTGCTGTATCAAATAAAGCTTTGCTTAATCGACAATCCCACCAAGGAATGTGATATGAGAAAATGCCTGGCCTTCCTTAAAATGTAGTGGTTAAC